ATATGAAATGTGAATGAGATGTTTGAATTGTTTCATGTGAATCTATATTACTTGTATTTGATATTTTGATTATTTTTGTTTGACTGATTGACCGTATTGTGTTTAATTGATTCTTGTTGAATGTGTTATTATCGTGGTCGTCGTCTTATTTTCGAAGATGGCTTTATTGCGTAGCAGTGTTTTGCAACTCATCTCGATGAATTGAATGAATCAACAGGATTCTGTAAGGAGTGAATTTGTGGAGAGAAGTGAGTGGATCACATAGTGTTTGGATGGTTCCTTCTTCATTTGACGTATTGAAGTGTTTTATTTGTTTGTTTGTTTGTTTTGTGTTTTTGAAAGTTTTCGAAGAATGCTTGTTGGGAGTAACGTTTTATTCTGTGTGATGACAAATGAATTTTTTCTTTGATTTTGATTTTTTGAAGCAGATTTTACGAAGTTTCATCGAGAATTAGAATGTAATGAAACGCAATGTGGAGTTTTTTGAAGTGCCCTAAGATTTTGAGTTGTTGTATGAACGAATAGGATTTTGAGTTGTTGTATGAACGAATAGGATTTTGAGTTATTGTATGAACGAATAGGATTTTGAGTTGTTGTATGAACGAATAAGATTTTGAGTTGTTGTATGAACGAATAGGATTTTGAGTTGTTGTATGAACGAATAAGAATGCACGAGCTGATTTATGTGACAGAAAGCGAATTGTTGTGGAATGGAAGTTTTTAGTCGTGAGATTTATTGTTCTTTTGAAGNTCTTTTTACTTGAATTTACTGAATGAGTTTCAGTGATGAATTCGATATCATTAAAGAATTGTTTTTAATTCAGTTGATTATTTCAGCAAATCATTTAAGATTGTGGCTATTTTATTGTTCTTACTATTGAAGCAATATGAATCTGTTATTATTATTATTATTATTATTATTATTATTATTATTATTATTATTATTATTATTACTGTTTCTTTTTATTGTTTATTAATATGATCGACTCTATAATACTATCGTTAATTGTAATTTATTACAGTTATTTTGACTGTTATCATTATCATTGAAATCATCGTTTTGTTATCACTGCACATTTATCGTTGTGAACAGCGAACGTTTAAGTGCACATTTGGATGTTATTGTTTCATATTTATTAATTGATGAGGTTCGACTTTATGATATGATGAGATGTGTTTTGTGGATAGCAACAGCGTTATCACAAATTCATTGGTGTGTAGCAATTATTTTTTTATTGGGTGATGATCGTTTTGCAAAGATCGATCGATCGATCGCATTCTATCGATAATCTCTTATTGTGCACAGTTGAATCGGCGAATTTGGACTTGGTTCGGTTTTTGGAATTGAATTGAGAGGTTTCTCTGATTGTGAGTGATTTTAGAAGTTATCAATCATTTACGACGTTGTCATTTATTCAAATTTATCGTTGGTTGGTTTCCTTTTCATCTTCATCAAATGTCGCATGTCAAATTTTCATCTCGAATAAATTGTTCTTGTGTTATTTTGTTGTTGTTTGATTGTGATGGTTTTGATTTGCAAACTCANGATTTGCAAACTCATTTTTGAATTCAGCATCGTGAATTTTTGATTTAACACATGCTTTCTATAGGAATGCGTATTTTTTTCTCCTCTCAAACTCCTATCCAGCCTTGGCGATGTTCTGTGGGGATAAGAGTGGGGAGGAAAATTAGATGTGTTTAATTATTAGCTGATGGTGAAAGCAAGCGATTTTGATCAGCGCCTGCAACAGAACTGATAGCACAAGGTGGGAGAATGGTGAATAGAGCGTACTTGTGGTGGTCGTTGAATCAGTGACTGGGATTAGAATTTGGTGGGTTCGAACAATTTCTTGAGTTATTTTCATCGAAAAAATGTTGAGTATTTGCGAAGAAGAATGTCATTGAGGAAAGAATGCATTGATGTGTTGTTATTCTGTTGGTGTTTTAGAACAGAAAGACATCAACTACTCATAATGAGTGAGTTTCAATGGCTGACTGGGAAATAAATAAATCTGATGAACAATCAATGAACTGGTATAATAGTTATACTGGTAATAATGGATGTGTAATTGGTAGATATATATTTGTTTGTGAAGGGCTATTGTAGTCATGGAATGAATAAGCATTCAGACAGAACATTACTCTCGAAACAGAGAACATGACAGTCGAGAAATCTGCACTGTGAAGGAATCAAGGTTTGAAGGCATTAAGAGTCTCGGAAGTTGGGTCTTCGTGAAAGAAGTTATATTGCGCTGGTTTAGAATTAATATGCTTGCTTGTAAGCACTGGCTTTTGTTTGAAGAGATCACTTTGAGGGGAAGATCAGCTGTGATAGAACGCTTTGGAATGATCAAATCAGGGTTAATCATTTGAATGGTAAGAGGATCAGAGTCAATGATCAGAATTAATGTGAAGGATTGGATTCTTAAAAGCAAGATGCAATAATCGATGGAAAGGGATTGGAGTATATGGAGAGTTTGTCGCTTCGATGAATCATTATCAGTAAGCTGTCTGAAAGTAAATAAAGTAAGTAAGGTTCATANATTCTCATCAGGTTTAACAATTGTTGAAAATAATCCTTTACCTACTGCCCTATAATCCCTGACCCTGGATCTGTCCAACGAATACGTACAACGACCGTCAGTGATTCAAGAACGTGTTCCTGAAGATGGCATAACGCCGAAACGTTGAACTTTGTAAAGAACCATCTCTATTTGCGCTAGTAATACTTTGTCAATAAAACTATATTACTATTTGATCAGGTTGTCAGCAAGTTCTCTTCGGTATTTTAATTATCATAATTTCATTCATATGTTTAACTACTTGATTGTCATATTATTTCGTTCACTATTCTTCGGTGCTATTGGACAGAAATTCATTATTGGTTGATGTCGTTTTCGATGCATTCTTTAGAGTTCAGAACCTGATGCTTTAAGCGAATAAAGCATTTCAATGATTCGTTTATTCGTACAAATTACTGTCGTATCATAACGTCAGTATATGTGAGAATGTTTACGTTTGCTTCTTATCACTTGATATGTTATCAGTTGAGATGTTGGTGAGTCAGTGATTAAGTGATACAATTTGGACGTGTCAATCGCCTTATGACCGGATGCTTAGTTACCTTGATATACTGATCGTTTTTGTGTCGCATTTTGCGTCGAGTTTATTTCCGTGTCATTTAACCTCACGATCAGTACGGTTTTATCGTTAAGAAAATAAGTAATTCAGTTACAGTCCGCGGCTCATTTGCAGTCTGTTGACAATTTACCGATAAACTCTTGAGAGCATGTTTTTCGCGGTTCTCAGCTAGCGATCTCTTCGCGATATCTTACCGATCCCCTTTCGAGATATCTATTAATCTTTTTTCTATCATTTATATCGATCAAACATTAATTAATGGAGATAAATGAATTCATGAATTGCAATGAATTCATGCTCGCTAATGATATTATAAGCATTTTCTAGAAACATCTTCCAAATTTCCGATCGAATTAAAATACAATCGTGCAAATATCATCTATGGGAGAACACCGTGCAAAAGATCCGTCTATGTTTGAGAAAATAATTTTTTCACTGAAATTTTTATTGGTTATTTTCATCATACTACCATTAACATTCATATGGGATTCAATAACTTCTATACGAAATCGCTTTATATTTGCCATAAATTCTGCTTCGATAGGACACACTCGAAAAGTGAATCTTCTTCAAAAACAGGTTCGTNCATTTTTATCTTTTACTCACTCATATTCTCATAATATTTCTTCAACTGATCATGCTATTATAATTGGAATTTTCATTGTGTATTTGTTTAGATGGTGCTTATTGCTAGCACCTTCTTCGAAAAACTTTTTAGCTCCATGTTCTTGCAGTAGTTCCCTTCCCAAATTCTTAATTTTCTTTAGTAAGGTCGGATATATCAACTGTTATTATCATTACTGTGATTTGTTAGCATAATATTGGTGATCATCATCACTGATCATTCTTTATGCTATCATTTTTTTGTTATGATATGATATTACTGGTTTATTCATGCTGATAGCTGTATTGCTGCTAACAGATCCGAACGTGGATCGACAATGGCCGTAAGAAAAAACTGTGTAACGCTCGACCAGCATGGCAGTCGATCGGATATCGTTTGAGCACCTATAAAAGTTCAATGCAAACGATCGGCACTGATCAACTAATCGATATTCTTCAGGTCTTACAGCGCCATTCATTCCGTTTTCCCTTCTTATCTTATTCAATAAATCATTTGAATGATATAATCTAAACCGCTCACTTATGAATTCACTTATGAATTTCGTATGAATTGAATTCAGTATCATAATCTGTCCTCGAAATCAGTTTGATGTTATACGGCTAACTGTGAGAAAAAACTGAAGATGAGTCCAAAACAAGACATTTTGTGTGTGTGTGTGTTCCTTGTTGGGGTTGATATATAACTCCTGATCTGCAACCTTTCCGTTGAGGTACGATGGAACTGACTTCTCATAGATTACTTCCCCGTAGTGTTCGATTCGGCATGCCAAAGCTAATATCTGACGCAAAACCCCGATTCGTTCATTTTCTTCTATGGTTTCAATTGTTTTAAGGTTGATACTGAAAATCGCACGGTGACAGTGGAGCCGTGCGTCACAATTGGGCAACTATTAGACGCACTCATTCCGATGGGTTTCACGCTCCCATTGGTACCAACTTTCGATGACTTAACTGTTGGAGGTTGATGGAACTTTGTTTTGCATTTTTGCTCTCTCTTGACAATTCGAGTTCAAGTTTTCTGGAAATTGTGAATGTGCTGGTGGAATAAACGGATTTTCTTTCCATGAGGAAGAGCGATTCATGCGAGCGAGAAATTTAGTATTCCAACGCCAATTCGCCAAAATTTTGGCAGCATACGAAGTAATGAATCAGCTCAGAAAAATCGCCTGCGCGCCGGGAAAATTTTGGAAATTTTCAAGTCTATGATTGTTCCTGACGCTTTCGTTGTTCCGAGTAGGAAGGTGGTGGTAATCTATCGGCCTTTACTACCTAGACCACTGGGAGACTGTTATAAGAGCTAAAATTCCGGAAAAGTCTCATGGAGAGAATTGCGTGGGCGTGATTCACTTTCTTCTTTCGGACAATGGT